TATATATATATTGTTTGAATGACGATTTGATATTACTCTATCACAAAATCTGTCATGATACAATTTTGATTCAATTCAATTCAGTTCACAAGTCTGCGATCCATATAATGCGATATCATATGCCCATCTATTACAATGACTCTGTTAGATGTGCATATGATATTGATCTACATTGACCATAGGATGACGATATAGATCGATATTTTTGGTTGGTATGGTTTTGCAATGTAAGCAAATGGATGGTTAATATTTGCACACAGTTGGGTTGTTAAATTTGGTAGTAGGTGTGCACAAACCCTGTCACACTATAATGTTTTAGACGTCCTTATTTCAAGAAATGTTACAAAGTTTCTTACTATACTGGCAGATTATTTCATGTAATTTGAGTCTGAATATCCTAAAATTAAGAGAAATAATCTGCCAATGCAGTAAGACACTTGCACTTGGTAAAACCTCTTGAAATAAGGAAAGCTTCCAGGTTAACAAAATTAATAATCTAACTCTTCCCACTCTTGCTTAGTATGTCAGTCTCAAAAGAAGATCAAAAATTCTCTTTGGCTGGATGAAAAATGGCAAGACTTGGTTAGTTTGACATTTTTTGTAGTGTAATCTCATACAATAAATGCCGGCATGCAAACAAAAACTTAACCAAAGTAAACACAATATGAGTTGTAGGTTTACTTTGCATTGCAGGTACTTTCAACTGTTGGACCACAAGGGTTGTAGACTTTATTTTCAGGACATTTATATGCTGCAAGGAAAAAAAGCAGATGCATCATCGACTTAAATGGAAAATTCTATATGGGAAAAAGATTCTTTCTAATGAATTAAAATATTCTTACCACACTGTCCTTTTGTAGCTTTTCTCCAGTCTACACAGACAGTTGCCGCATTACACAACAATGCATAGACCTCCAAACTGGAACAGCCCAAGGTGGAATTTGTGTGGCAAACGTCAAACTTACAGGCTTTATAATATGGCCCGGGTGCAATTTTATTGTGGCATTCCTTAAACACACTTAACGTGGCAAGATCAATCAAAAAAAGAAAAGAGTTAGTCTGGTTTTACTGAAGAACCAATTGACAAGTTTGTCCTATTTCATAAATTCTTACTCGCTCATTATAATTTCACAGATAGCCGGTGTGCATGGTGGTGGTGGTGGTGGTGGTGGTAGTGTTGGCAGTATTGGTGGTTTGGGAGTTGGTATGGCATTACAATATGGTTTATTCTTATCGACTACACGCCATTCATTTGCCATGTCAGAGCATGATGGATGAATTCTGCCATTTGGTAATCTGCAGTCATTTCTTACGTTATTATCACAAACGCCTTGTAAAAAAAGAAAAGAAACAGGAACAAGAAATGCATTACTACTTCACATGTAGAAGGAAAACAACATTTACTGGCTAGTGTGCTTCCAGTGTATGATTTACAGATAAAAACAGCAGAATATTACTTTCACTCTAGAATTACTATCAATTTAGAGTTATACTCCTCATAAGAAACTATTATAAAGCTCAAGTTAAACCTGGGGAAGCACAGTGAAACTGAAAGTACCACAAAACCTGGTGGATCTACTTATTTTAGATCAAAATTAGTTGTACTGATTTCTAATGCACATCACGTTAAACACACAACTTTAGTTACTCTTAAAAGTGACGTTTGTAACAGGTTTTTCGTGTCAGCTTACCACACTGTCCCTCTGTGTTACCCTGGAATAGGGAAAATGGCAGTTCAACGCTGTATAAAAGCCCTTTGAATGTTACAACGGCTTCAATTTTGGCGATTTGCAGAACCAGCTGAATTGCTGTGCTTGTAATGTTGAAATCTTCATTGATGTAGGTCGGATACACTCGATTCCCATTGACATAAGCCTAAAATCAAGTGTGACAGGTATAAAAAAGTATTGCATTTTATTTGAAAACATACAAATAATTAAGAGAATTAACACAGATTGCTGTGACAAAACCTACCAGATTCTCAGTTTTTTTCCCTCTTGTTTGTGTAAGAATGATTTCATAGTTTTTGTAATGCACAATCAAGGCTTTGGCACAGGTTATAGTTCCAGTAGCATCACAGTTTTCATTGTCAATAAAAACTGTAAAATTGTATCGAGGTACTATTTCCTTGACCAAGACATATGTGCAGTTCTTCTGGAAACTGTAATACTCGCCGTCAAATGTAACGTAATGAGGATCTCCCCAGCCTGCACAAACACCTGCAATTGTGACATTGACAGAGTATGTTAGAATGAAGAAAAAATAAATAAATACTGTATGTACATTCTGTTTGTTAGCCTCCAAAAGGTAGAAATAAGAAACCTTCAAATTGTTTTGTTTGAACTTACATCTGCACTGGTACTGAAAACAACAGCCTGTTTTATCATAAATCTTTACTGGTGCGTATCCATTAACGCAGACAGGCATAGGTGCTGGTGGACATGGGACATGTGTAATGATTACTTTTCCATTTTCACACTTTTCGGTTATGCAATTACTTGAACTCCATGTTTCTCCATTCTGTAAAACAAAGTAGTACAATTAGCAACCTACAAACAATGTGGACACAAATTTTATAAAAATAGAAATCTTCCCTCCTGCCTTCCTTCAACATTCTTTGAGAAGAAACATTATATAATTGTAAATACCTTTCTAGGTGGTGTGAGATATAAGCAGCCAGTGGGAGGCGGGGATGTTGAGCTCTTGTGTGTCGAAATGCCAGAGCTTGTGGTAGTTGGAGGAGTTGTAGTTTGACATGGTCTGGCATTCTTTTCAACACTGCATGTCAGACTGCAATATGCAGTGAAGCACCAGCCTTCTCCGTCAGTCTTATTGTACATAAAACTTCCTATATAAAAGTAAAACAGATTGTAGGATCAAAATAATGAATAATATGCAGTACTAGAAACAGACAAAAACAAGCTACAGTCTGTAAAATACTAAATCTCGAAAATCACCTGTAGAAGGTGATGAAGCATAGTAGTACCATCATTGATGAACAATATCCCTATAGACACGTGCGACAAGTGTGTGTGCACCAACAGTGGCTGCACTGTCTATATCCCTGCTTGTTGGCCCTGCGCGATGTCACGCCACCTCCAAATTTTTGTAACTCTGCATGAGCTGCACTCGCCACACTCCATTCAAATAGTTTGTCCATCAAGTGTTAGTTCTCCTTTCTTCAACATTTCACAAGTTATGAAGTATAGTATCACATATCCTTTCAGAGAATACTGCACCAACAAGCGTTCAAGCGTCAAGTCAATCAAGCGTTCAACCATTCAATTACATTTTGTTAAAAGGGAAAGTTACAATCTCAAGGGGATAGAGATGTTTGTTAAACCTATACCAATTTGAAGGAACGGAGTACTTCAGTCCAGGGTATAAGATTATGGAATATTCTGGAGGATGACATTAAAAATGCCAGTTCAATGTGTGTATTTAAGAGAATGATAAAGGTTAATTTGTTGGAGAAATATGTAATGGTATAATATGCAAATTGTTGCTCAAGAAGGAGTTAAACCTTTGTTGTTTTCTTTTGTTTTTCTTTTTTGTATGTTTTTTGTTTTTGTAATTTGAAGGTTATTTTTGATTGAATTTATTTATTTGAGAAAAAGGGGCAGATATAGTTAGATTTTTTCTTCTTCTGCTACCTTTCATTTAATTTATGATTTATATTTTTATTGTATTGAATTTATATTGTTTTTAAAAGAAATTAATAAACTTAAATATATAAGTATAAATGCTTTCACCGCTTGCTTGAATCTGTATGCTGTCATCAGAGTCTTGCACTCAAAAGTGCAACCATAACCAAACCTTTGGACTCCTCCAACTGAGGCAAAGTCCCACCCAACACAGAGGGGGCATTCCATCCATTTCTGGTTGAGAAACTGAGGCGTTGGACTTATAGTAGCTGATTCTCATCTCAGCTACTTCACACTCAGCTGTGAATCGCCCTAATTCATGCTGGAGATCTTCCCCGAAGAAGCTACTGCTAAATTACTGGGGAGTGCAAGAAGTGTAATCCCACAGTCATTGTAACACACTCCACTCCCCATTTTAAAAATGGGAACCACCATCCCAATCTGCCACTTCACATGTGTTGTCCCAGTCCTTCTTATGACACTGAAAAGATGTGTCAAACATGACCGCCCCACAACATCCAGATCATTCAACGTCCAAGGGTGAATTTCATCCACCTCTGGCGCCCTGCTACCAACAAGCTTTTTGACTACATTGATGACATCTGTCATGGTAATAGACTCATCTTCCCCCAAGTCCTCAGACTCTGCATTCTAAAGGTGGACATGGTAATCATATTAAGGAAATCCTTCAAGTGCTTCTTTCACTGTTTAACAATATCTTTAGCTGGGGTCCGCAGTTCCCCACCCAAGCCAAGTACAGCCCTGGGCAGGGTTGACAGGGCCTGATTTGCTGAGTAATTTGCCAAACCATTTTGAGGCCAACCAAAAGTCCTTATCTATGGCCTCCCAGATTTCATCCTATGCCCATTTTTGCATCCACAACCACTGAAACTGCAGTCCTATTTGGCCACATGATACTTCTCAGGCGTTCCACCAATCCTCTGGAACAACCAAGGCCTGATGGCCTCCTTCAGCTTGATGGCCTCCATCACTACTGGTGTCCACCAGCTGGTCTGTTATTTGCTACCGTGAAGGGAACCAATGGTTGTCAGGCCACATCTCCTGCAAGTGACATCTGGAATAGAGGCCCTTACCATGGTCCATTCAAACGTCATGCCTTTTAGCTCTCCTGGGACGTGAAAAAAAAATCTACAGGAGGTGTGAGCAGAAGATCGAAAAAACGAGGCTCTGCCAGACATTCTCAGTCCACCCTCATAATGTGTTTAGGTCTGCAACATCTGCAAGATACTTCCCTCACTACAGAACCCAACTTGCTACCTTGTGGTGATCAGATGACAGCTCTGCCCCTCTCTTCACACAAATGTCCATAACATAGAGCTGCAGGTCTGATTACACTAAAAAAACATTGTAGAAAATTACTCTAAATAAAAAAGGAACAATTGTTTTTCCTTTTTCATTGGAGTCAGTTGATTGTTTGTTTTTAAGTAATATAGCTTGATGGAGTGTGGCAAAATATTTTATGGAAAGATTGTGTTTCAAAAAGCTTACATAACATCACAAAAATAAAAAATCTTCAGTACAAGTTATGCATTTCATGACAACATTGGTTCAAAAAACGAACATTGCTTACCTGGGGAGAAAATATGACCCATATATTTGCAGGAACACAATGTTGTTCTGCCAGGCGTTGATGTTTCAATGCCTGCTCTGGTAGTAGATGTTCCTGTGTGAGGTGTTGTGGTAGATGTTTCAATGCCTCGTGTTGTGGTAGATGTTATAATGCCTGGTGTGGTGATAGATGTTCCTATGTGAGGTGTTGTGGTAGACGTTTCAATGCCAGGTGTGGTAGTAGATGTTTCCATGTGAGTTGTTGTGGTGACCTTTCCTGTAGTTATAGTGGTTGTAGGTGTTTCAGTATGAATTGTGGTAGTAATTTTTACAACATTACCTGTTGAATGCTTTTGTGTTGTTAATGGATTTGTAATAATTTTGGGGGTGGTTATGGCTTTTGTTGTAGCAGATTCTATATAATGAGATGTTGATATTTCTGTTTGAGGTGTTGTGGTAGATGGTTTAATGATAGGTGTTGTGGTAGATGTTTCAATGCCTGGTGTTGTGGTAGATGTTCCTATATGAGGTGTTGTGGTAGATGTTTCAAAGCCTGGTGTGGTGGTAGA